TAGCAAGTGTTCCAAGACTTTTGGCAGGCATTGTAGAACACATTGCAAACAGCAAACAACAACAAAGTAACAACAAAGCGCACTCCGGTCAGACGTCAGTAGATGCCTGTCGAAGATGGATTCATTTTAGTTTTACCAAATTAACGCAAGATGTCGGACAGCGAATACAGCAGCACCGAAAGTATTTCAGAGCAATTTTCATTAATCGATAGTTCAACTGACGGAGATTATGAAGTTGTGAACTTACAAGCTCACGCTCCATACCAAGACGAACCACTGGCTCTGCCTGGGCAAGCGCGAGTGAATTTTGAGGAAGACAAGGATGGCATTCCTCGTGAAACACTGGAGGCCAGATTCGAGAAGAGAGTTGCTGTGAATGACTGGTAGGTGACTTAAATTACATATGAAGTATTAGATAAATTCTTTCCTGAGAAATTCAGTCACTCGCAGGGCCTAGACGACAGGCCCTCCTTCAATAACTTGGTTTAGGGCAAGCAAGCCTAGGGTCTACTTAGGCCCCAACGTGTGAATGAATCATTTAGTCCGAGCCGTCTTCGAAAAAAACTCGCATCTGTAATTTATTCACTCGCATCTTTTCCAATTCAAATCACGTTTTTACTTAACCCATTTAAATCTTCTTTCCTTTTCTAAAGGTGCTCGTGTTCACAGTGTAAAGATGAACTGTTGGTGGGTGCGTTAGAATACAGATGCTGCAGGGAAGTACACTGTGCTATTGGCAAGGCAGTTTTTGATGGCACAATTGATGGAATAACATGTATCATCCAACACTGCGATTACAACGCATTGGTCAATACAGAGGTCCTGATGATGGTTGGGCCTTTATTGAAAGACTCGCAAGGGCGAGCATACAAGCGAAGAGCAGGACAAGGCAGAAACGAGTAAGCTAATAGTTGAATAGTTGCAAATACTTTTAGAATTTTTATTTTTGAAGTCTAAAATTTGCGATAAAATTGTTTCAATCCACACCATTGGTGGTATGTTGACAACAGCTGATCATTTCTCAATCTGGAGCCATTAAACCAGATAACATGATTATAACCAGAAGATACTTGTTGGTGAAAATGAACAAGACTAAAGCATGTTTCCATAACCCAAAACTATTCTTAATATTAAAAATTACACAATTGGCAAAACAAGCTATTCATGATAGCAAAATGAAAATACAGTATATATATTCTGTAGTTTTTTATAATTTCACTTTCAAGAGAATCTGCTTTTTGTGCAGAACTTTAAAACTTGGCATACCATAGCCTTCCCTACCCCAGGATTAGCAATTCCAACCCCAGACTAAATAATTTTTGTTATAAGAACAGCAACCAATATTTGATCATGAACATAAAATACTTATTGTCAGTTACTTATTGTTGTAGGTAAGCCATGTTAAATGCTTAACATAAATAAAATAGATCAGTCTTTGGCATAAATAAGAATCAACATATTTTTTCAGGTATCTTAGAGCTGTTGCCTACAGATGGCTAATTCGTTGGTTCTGTGGTTACCTTGGTTGGGACAACAGAAGACCACTGCCAGCCTGCATATACCATAACATAAGGACGAAATTCCAGACAGCTGCTACTACTGGTTATGCAGATAATGAATAAGACTTTAAGCATTAAAATATTGGAGAGTAACTGTTTAGATCTGACTCATTTTCAGTAAAAATATGCAAACATTTCAAATGTGCCAAAACTTATGAACCTGAGGGTCCAAAAGCTCTACAAAATAAGCTACAGAATATGGCTTTTGCCCTCATGTTTCACTACATGTTTGTTCCAAATATCAGTATAAGTAGCAGTTGCTCTCAAACATTTCCAGTCAGTTTTTTTGTTTGACTGTATTTAACTTTTGCTAATTTCTAACCAGTAAATTTTAAACTTAACCCTTTCCATACTGAGGCCCACTTTTTTTATACAAGTTTTGGTAGAACACAAGTGGACTTCAAATACCGAAAGGGTAAGGCTCTTTTGATAAAAGCAAATACTTTCTTTTGCAAAGAAGAGAGAGATCTGGAGTGTTTCACCAAAAATCAGTCACACTTTCCACGTTTATGCCCCTTTGTTGGTTTCCCACATTTTTTGCAGCAGCGGTTGGTCTTCCTTTTTCTTGTGCTTTCAGCCAATACAGCTGGTTTCATTAGGCTTAATTGCAAGGATTCTTGTTCATTTTCTGTGCAAAAAATTAAACCAACAATATAACCACAAAGGCAAAATAAAAGTGTACCACAACCAAAACCTGTATTTTGATTGCAAGATTAGCTGCTGCTGTGCAAATGTACATTCTATATAAATATACACAAATTATGATTTCAGTGATTATGATGGGAAAGGGTATTGACCCAAAGATCCCAGATTGAATCTGGTCAATCTATTCTTACAAATACGAACAATAAGAATTTGCAATTACCCCATTTTCTATGAGACCTTGAACCAATGATTTCTAAATGGTCCCTTTCATAAGAAATTTATATATATCTTGATGGAAAACTAGGCTTTCTGTTTAACAAGTGGTTTTCCCTTGCTGTATGATCCAGTATCCCAGTCTAATTACATACTGTATTTCATCAACAGACAACAGTATGTGAAGTTTTTGTCCAAATAACACAATAAAATATTTTACCTGTAGGGTACATTGGTGTAGTAGTGCTCTGCTTTAAAATATATTCAGAGATGGCATCATTCTTTTGACGTCTGTTTGGGAACTGAGCAGTTAAAGGCTCTGGCACTTTCCGTGTGTACTTGTCCAGGACACTCCCAAGCTCCTCCAAGGGCGTGCTGAACAAAACATTTCTTATATTGTCCACATATGCTGCAATATGAGGAAAAATTTATACAATTTCATGGTCTGTAGATACTCTGGCGCACTGTTACATAGTAACTGTTTTATTTTTAATTCTGATGCATAAAGCTAAGTGTGTTTCAGGCTAATTTACAATGGCAGGCAATATTTTTATGCATTATTAGTCTCATAACAATTTTTAACTTGTGGGGTACAAAGCACTCAGTGAAGTTAACTGGATAGACTACTTTTAAGTTAAAGTCCAACACAAAGAAGTGATAGAAAAAAGATATCATCCTTTATTCATTTAATTTCAAGACAACATTAAACCTCATCAACTAGAATCATTTCATGTCTTTCAAATATTTTGCAAGCAATTGTAACATTGTGAGTTTTGTGACTCTAACAACAGAACTAACAAAGCCTTTCTCATTGAAGCAGTCTGTAACACAGAATATCTTTGTTTGATGTCAAAATTAGTAGTAAAATAACAATTTTATTGGTTTACTTACCGTATGTAGGGGGTATGGCAACTTCTCTGACAACTTCTTCCCCAAGTTTGAATTTTGGGTAAACAACTGAGTAGCATAGTGATCCATCTAATGCTGATCGTGCTTCACGATTGAGATTCTCGTTAAAATGAGAAATAGCCAAAACATGTCTGAAACATAAGATGCATTATGTGTTACGTCTGGTTTAACTATATAAAATACATTTTTCTGTTCTAAATGACTGTTTGGCTTGCTATGTCAAGACATCTTGTTTGGATATTTAAAAACTTCTCCCATTTTCAATCTTTAGAACTAACCAAACAAGACTATCTTGGTGCAACACGCCACATAACCACATAAAAAATTACATCACACAATTGTCTCATGTGCTGAAATTATAACATCCGAGATCTCACCTGCAGTATGTACCAAGCCAAGAAAAGTGAACCATTTTTGGGTGCCAGTGATTTAACGTTGAATGAAAGCCTTCCAGGCAGCTTGTCTGGGCATCACATGATAGACTCTGGACATCTTTTAAAGCGGTTGTGTTGCAAAGAATCTTGAGTAATTTGTCATATGCAGGTGTACCTGACAAAATATCAAAAACCAAAACATTTCAAATGGATTTCCACTAAAAACAAGGAATGGTTGGTTTCATTCCACTAAAGTCTGGATGATGTACTATTCGCCTCCAACAAATTTAAGGCTTGTACCCACAAAACATTTACATTTACATACCGATTGGAATCCATTCACGTGGTTCAAGTTCAACATGTGCACACTTGTTGTATAACTGACTCGGATGTTCATCATGTTTGTTTGCAATATGACGCATCAAGGATCTCCACTTTGCAACAATCAACTCACCAAAGCCTTGCTTGGTAGAAAGGGCACACCAATAAAGATGCTTACGTATTCCCTTGAGCCATAATTTTAGTACTTCAAAGCCTTTTTCTTTGCTGCCTTTCAAGATTTTCTTTGTGAGACCTTTGCAGACATGCCACAAATCATTAAAATGGGAGGTTTCAGGCTGTGATTCACGAATCCACTTTGCGATTCCTTTGTGCCGATCACTTATGAATGTTGTGATTGTCAAACCAGCATTCTTTATGTACTGAAAGCAACGTTTGGCTCCATCAAGTTCCATTGCGTTACTTGACCCTGATTCATTTGCCTTAAAATTAAAAGGTTTCATTTAGGAGTTGCATGCAAATCACAAATGCCACTGCCATCTTTAATATAGTGGTTACTTCTTTTGTGTTTGGTTGATACATTTTCTCACTCATTCAGTGATATAATCTGTGTGATGCATTGAATCTCTACCAAATATGAGTGCTGTATAAATCCTCTAAAACACTTTAACCCTATCCAGACTAGGGGGGGGCACAAAGTGCCCCCCTAGTTGGTTTTTCTTTCATAACTGCAGGAGTTTCAAAGCAATACCCCTCAGACCTCCTGACTTTTAGTTTTAACCTATCTGACACATGTTCATATAAAAAGATAATTTTTTTATTATTAATCAGGGGGTTGTGTAGGGGCATTTTCAAAACTAGTCAAGTAAAAAATAGTTCAATCTGCCACGGATTCGCAACAAAAGTAGATATATTGATGAAAATTAGTATCTAGGCATTAATTTGTGCTCTCTTCATGATTCTGACCAGAAAATTCAAATTCAACATCCTTTTCTATGATTTTTCTGCTGCGCATGCGCACACATTTGTTGACATATTTATAGGTATTACATTAATAAAACTGCAAGTTTAGAATAATTTGTCTGCTAAGGCATTAAAAATGAACTCAAACTTGACATTTGGTTGTATCGATCATTTAGTTATTTAGAAAAAACTATAGCCAAATACAAAATATGTTGAGTTCTTTTGTTTGGAACGTTAATAATTTTGAGAAGTAACATTAAAATTGTGTCAATATTCTTGTTTCTATTAGAAAATGCATCAAATTTGCTTATTTTGATATCTTAGCCCGATGCTTTGGAATTAATGAATATTTTAAGATTTTCTAAAACTTACTAAATTTTTGCTTCACCCGGCCACCATTATGATGACGTCATCGTAAAACCACGTGACTTAAAAATTTAACAATAATACTAAAATGTGGAGAAAAGATAAGAGTACCATCCAAACAAAGTTCATTGTCCTAGCTAGAGGGACAAAGAAATTACGGAGGGGGGGCACTTTGTGCCCCCCCCTAGTCTCCCGAAAGTTTCAAAAAGCCTAGTCTGGATAGGGTTAAAATGGCAATAGCAGATTTATCTGTTTTCACATGAAATTGACAATTATACTTACAGTACTTAACTTTTTGGGTTGCTGTGGACAATAGGATTGAAAAAATGCCTTAGACAAACACATGACACAGACACAATGACTCTGAAAAATTGCTCACCTGAAGCAGTTCAAAATGGACCAGTTTGGAGATGGAATTGGAAAACAGTGTGTAGACACCATATTTAGCATTGTGACCCATAGAATCAAACCTTCCATCTCCAGACCATTGTGCATTCTTGACCCCTCTCAATTTTTCAAGCAGTGATGAGCGATAGCTTTCCCAATGATGGAGCACAGATGGGAAGAGGAATTTTTTCTGATGATAAAAAAAGGTCCGTCCAGATATGGCTGACAGCCCCATGTGTCTAAACATCAACAAAGCCTGGCTTATTCTCACACCCGATGTGAAGATGCCAAAACTCAGCATTACATTGCCTGCAGGATATTTTCCAAAGAGTGATGGCTGACTTTTCCACTGGAAATGCATTCTGCACTGCCTACATTTCTGCACAACAGTTGCCATTGTTCCAGTGCGATGTACCTCAACAGAAGGATTGTCAGCTTTGCATCGGAAACAGAATGTTTTGAAAATTGCCAACAACATGCCATAGAAAAGGGGCCCTTTACATGAGACCCGAAATGAACTCATGCCGGCATGAGTTCGTGCCGGCATGAAAATTCGGTGAAATTTGCTCGCCGTTACATGAAACCCGACATGAAACTGTCGAATTCTTTCGCATTATATTCACGTAACTTCGTGCTTCTCAAAAAAAAGCGGGAAAGTTTGAGAGTAAATTTTTAAAATGGCGGCAGAGGATCCAAGGAAACTTCTTTTGATCACAGTCCTAAATTATCTAGTTTTTACAACTGGTTGCATTGCGCTACAATGCCAAATGCTTCTAGCTATACAGGTATTCTTGCAACAGCAAGAAATTAAGGAAAAGTTAAGAGCTGCGGTTGAAGATAAAAATCGCGCCCTTTGCCGATACAGAGCCATAAGAAATAGATTTTTGAGGAAAAAAAGAGGACAATGGAAAAAGCCTGGTCGCACAAGTGCATGGTGGTTAAATGTTTGGGATGGAATTTTAAGCGATGGAGAATGGCATGTTAACTTTAGAATGTCAAGGGAATTTTTTTCAGACTTGTTGTCAGAAGTTAGGCCATACATCTGTGCAGCATTTGTGCAATGGAGGCGATTTTATCACTGATTCCCCCCGATATGAAAAACTGATCTGTTTACACAACACTTTCGTGCTGGCATGAAACTTCATGCCGGCACGAAAAAGCGACATGAGATTTTCGTGCCGGCATGAGTTTTCATGCCGGCATGAGTTTCATTTCGGTCAACGCCATGTAATCACAACAGTAGCTCAGACCAGCACCCGACATGAAACTCGTGCCGGCATAAAACTCGTGCCGGCATGAGTTTCGTTTCGGGTCTCATGTAAAGGGCCCCATAGAAAACCACAAACTTGGGCTCTTCAGCAACTCTTGTCCCAGGTCTAACACTAAAAGAGGTTTACTGTATTGTATAACCGGTCCAAAACTGTAAAGCTGCTCTGATAGGGTTATAATTTCAATATATATACTTTCAATATATACTTTCAATATTGTGAAACATACTGCATTTTCTATTTTGTTTTGCCTGAAACTGGAGCTGAATGACTTGTGTTGTTTTGCCTGATGCTGGATCTTTTCAGACTTACATTAAGTCAGATATTGAGTGATGAAACTGCAGTACAGTTTCTGTGAAAATTATTTTCAGCCTAATCACAATCAAACATACTGTATTTTCTATTTTTTGACAACTCCTCTATATCTGCAACCCCAGGGGGGGGGGCACTCCATAACTTTTGATATTCGGGGTCTGTGAATTACAACATTGACACAATTCAATATTTGGGGCAAAAATGTCTTGCATTGACTTCACATGGAATGCAGTGTGACCCTGAAGTTGCGAATCATGAAATAAGTGTTTTCGTATTTTTTAAAAACTTAGAAAAATCAAGAATCTCAAATTGAGATCATTCAAAAACGTTGTAGTGGTCCCAAAAATAGATAACAATATTGGGGTCACCAAAACATTAGACTTTACATTAGACGCTAAAATTGATTTTCAAAGCAATCAGTTTTTACCTTACAAGATTTCTTGAAACAAACTGATTTCCATCATCTTCGGTGTCTGTGGAGTCGGCCGATTTTTCCAAAGTTGCCCAGTCTTCCTCATCCTCATTTTCCAGACTCAAGTCTTGACTGACATGAACTTCATCAAGCCCATTGTCATCCGAACCGCTATCCATTATATAACCTGAAAGGCTACTTGCATCCATGTCTTCAGGCATAACATCCGTGTTTGTAAGCTTGCAAGAAAATTGAGTAATGTCATTTAGTGTGTAATGCTACTTTGGTTTTCAATCCTTAAGCAAAAAAGCTCCAGGGGTCAGAAGTTGTATGTGGAATGCACAGAAGTAACCAAGAGAAGGGTAACACTGAGTGTACTTTGACCAATGTCAAACAGAAACACAAAACGAGTTCTAAGGGTAAAGAAAGAAATACCTGCTCAATTTTTGCATACAGCTCTGCCCTCTTCTTCTTCAACTTGCTGACCTTTTTTTGCAGATATACTATTTTAGCTTTATAAAACTTGCAGTTCTCACAAGCAATATTGCTTTCGACTCGGCTATCCAATTCTTTATTATCATCTGCTTCTTCTACATCATCGCCAATGTCTGATGTCGTTTCGATAGATTTCGGGGTTATAATAGCACTTCGAACAATCTTCAAAGAAAAAAAAAGTATAGACGATCAAAAAAACAACTCAGAACAAATGAGTTCTACGATGGACATTGGTCTGAAAGTGAAAAAACAACAAAACAGGAAGTAGGCCAGAGGGCCTAAACCTTCGCTCACCTGTCTTCGATCTCGATCTGACATTTCTTCAGATATCTTCGGAGCTTCGTTTGCTACATGAACCGTTGGCACTGCATCAGGCTTGAGAAAAGACTTAACTCCGAGCTGTAAAGCTATGTCTCTTCGCATTGTGAAGGAAGATTCCTCAAAGTGACTCCCACACAAAATTGATGTCTTCGAAGGGACCCAGCCTGGTCGATAACGCCGCACAAATTGGACCCATTTCTGATGTCTCGCGTTGTCTTTTTCTTTATCGGGGAATAAGTGAACTGACACCCCATCAGTATATTGACTATTTCCACAGCTGACTAAGTTAGGGCCACCAGCAACACAGCGCTTTCCTCCTCAGCTCTGTTTCTCCACTCTACTCGCCATGTTGAAGTTGTCGTGATGAAGTTAGAATAGCGTGCCACATTGTTCTTTGAAATTCGTGTTCTACTTTCTACGTCATCAGGCAGCTAGAAAAATTCGCACGCGATCTGCCAAAATCACCAACTTTGACGGGCCATAAAAAAATTCTACTCCACCGAATTGAAATCAGTTTTCAGTATCGTAATTAGCGCATAAAAATGTCTCAGAATATTAACAAAACAGAAATTCGAAAATTTCGTTGCAGTAGCACTTTAAGTATTTTGATGAACATAAAAAGAACATGAAAATGTTATGAAAAATAAAAAAGGCATAAATAGCATAAGGCCAGGAAGTATTGAAACCACTTAATTTTTAAAAGACAAAGATGGCATTAAAATATCAGATCCTGTTAAAATAGCCACTAAATTCAATAACTATTTTACTAATGTTGCAAGTAGTATCAAAAAGAAAATCCAAAGAACTTCAAAATCTACTCCTATTCAGTCTTTAAAACTTGGTAAGTCAAGTGGAGCCAGTAGTATCTCTGTGAAGCTACTAAAAATGCTTCAAGCACCTTGTGATCTTGCCTTTCTCATTAATGAATCTTTTGTCTCAGGAACCTTTCCTGATATCCTTAAAATTGCCAAGGTAGTACCAATCTTTAAGAAAGGACTTGCCTCGAGGACATCTTATTAGAGATCAATCCCTCTCCTCTCTGTATTTAGTGAACTGCTGATGACACAAACATCTATTGTGAATCAGATGATCTTTCTCTGCTTACAAGAAAAGTTAACAAAGAACTAAAGAAAGTAAAATT